AATTTAATGTTTTGTTTTTGATATCAGACGTGTAAGGATTATTATCAATACTTCTTCAATAATTTATAAAATATTTTTTGTTAATTCCACTCTTTTTTTAATTTTAATTATATATAAAATATTAACTATTATAAATTAAGATATACAATATTATAAAAAATTTAAAAACTATTTTTATTATTCTAAGTAAATTGAATTATAATTATAATTTTTTTTCGAAAAAATAAACCAAGTTTTTTTAAAATTAAAATTTTTACTGTTTCTCCTTATTTTACTATTAATAATTTTATTGAAAATATAAAAAAACATCATAAATTATTAATTTATTGATTAAAAATTTCTGATTGATAAATTAAGGATTAATAGCTAGTAAGATCTTTGTAACAAAAATTATTAAAAACTGCTTAAATACATGATTAATATAAGATTTTTTATTCAATATAATAATTATTACAATCAATTGAATAAAATATAATTCTCGGGTGTTTTTGCAATCAATAAAATAATTTAACCGTGATTTTTGCAATCTTGCAATCAATTACATATATCTACTGGTAAAATATGGTTTTTGTAACCAATATAATAACTATTACAACCATCTGAACATTTTTTGCAATCAATTACAAAATCACAATTATCAGGATTTACTAAAATATAAAAACATTAAAAAAAATAAAACTAAATTTTTTATAAATGATCTCTCTTGCCGTATATCTTATAAAACACTCTGGTATTTTTTGATAAAATGATTAGTAATGATCAGAAGTTATCTTATCAAAAAATTCCACAATAAGAAGTCTTTATTAAAATTCATTCAAACCACCTCGTGTACAAATAAAATTTTTCAAACAAAAAAGACATTTTCTATCGGGTTTAAAAAAGGTGAGTAAAAGGTAAATACTTTAGAGTCTACTGAGAAAGTTCATTGTCTTCCATAAGTCCTCTGTAATGATGAATTCTGGTATTATCTATTATAAAAACAGGAGACTTAGTTCCTTTTTCAGTATAAGTAGTCTTTAATTTTCAAAGAGAATTTTTAAAATCTTCTCCATTTACTAAACTTTCGTGAATTTTATAAAGATCATTCCATATTTGTTCATTGCTGCCACAACAGAAATATTTTTACTTCTGGAAGCAGAAACAATGAGGTATGCAAATTATCCCTTTAAAGATCTACCACTACTTGAGTGTGTCACCACCAAAAACCCTACATTATTGAGAAAAACAGAGCTTTTATCTTCATTCTCTGCTTCTAGTGTACGATATTCACACTCGTAATAAGTCCTTATTTCAATAGTGCTTTGACTATTTCTATGTTCAAGGAATAATGTAATTTGTTTTATGGTGTAGCGGAATTGACGAAAACATCGATCAATCGTACTGATTGATACGTCTATGTTGTAAGTCTCTATAACTTTTATTCTTAAATCTTTTAACCTAATACGGTTCATCATCCACCCAGACAAAAATTGCTTTTTTATAACCAAACTAAGTTTAGAACGCCTGTCACCACCACGAGATTGAAGCAACATCTTATCAAAAGTATTATAGTGTTTAATAATACTATTTACAGTCTGGTAAGGTATTACTTACATGTTTGTTATGATACAAACAGAGTGACCTTCAAGTAACTTAGTCGCTATTTTTTATCTGTTATCATTGGAGACAACTTTACGTTGCCTCCACAAATTCAACTGTTGCGCCCTTAACAGAGTTAATATTGCTTCCGCCTCACTAGCTTTACATATTGTTTCCACCTCACCAACTTTACATTGTAATTCCACCTCACTAGCTTTACATACTGCTTTTGTCTCCATAGTGGTTGTTACCACCTTGAATGCCTACGTAATTGTTTAAAATTGATCTCTTTGTATTCATATTTTATTAATTCAAATTTTTAGGTTAAAATTTTTAATAAAAATTTAACAGCTTAAATATATATATATAAATTTCCAAGTTATGATAATAACTTAAAGCTATTATTATAATTGTGATTCTCATCACAACAGTTCCATTTACTATTTTTAAATAAAAGTTTAAATTTTTTTGACTCGTAATGAATATAATTTTTAATATTTTTCGTTTTATGTATTATAAATCCTGAAAAAAATATGATTATTTAATTGATTGCAAAACTTATTCAGATGGCTGTAAATATTATTATATTGATTGTAAAAAACACCTGAGAATTTTATTTTATTCAATTGGTTGCAACAGTTATTTAATTTATTAAAACGATTATTATATTGATTGATAAATCCTATACTTAAAAAAGTATTTTTTATTCATTTTAACTTTTAGTTTGGTATGAATAATGTTAATATTAATTATTGATTTTTTAATATAATATTTTTATTAAAAATTTATTTATACTTTCCAATGGTTAAACACCTTGTAAATGAAAAACAAATACTTGAAATATTTTAAAATCTGATACCACTTATGAAAATAACAATAACGAGAAACATGGTTTAAGAAAAAAATAACTACAGAAGAAAATATAAATTTCGTTATAATTAGAAAACTTGACAATTATATTATTAAATTTAATAAATCATAAGGTAAACTGGATATAATAACGGTATTGCTTCGCTTAGGGCGCCAAACTGTGTTTGGGGCTCATGAGGAGGAATACAAGAATTTCTTGATTTGAGTCTATCGTATTAAAGCCTCATGTCAACTAGTTTGAAATATACTTTAACGTTTTAGGGTTTTAACCAATTATAATACTATTGGTTAGTTAAAATATAAAAAGGAAATTTATTAAAAGAAGGATGGTTAAACAAAAGTTTTATTTAAACTAAATGATAAGCCGTGCAAAGCACGACATTTTGAGCTCAAAGTCTGTATCTCACACGGACTACTGTAGTAAACCTACAAAAAAAGACTATCTTACATCTTGCCTTTTCATTTACCAAAATGGTAACTTTTCTAACAATGATCAAGTAAAACAATAAGGTGATTCAATTAAGTTTAGATAAAAGGTTCCAGGCTTTAAAGTTGACAAACAACCTGTCTTTTCTATATCCATGCCAACAAACTTAACTCCTTCAGTCGTATCTAAATGGATACATAATTATGATCATTGAAACTTGATTGTAATTGGTCAGATGAACAGGCAATCTATTATGAGGAGTATCATAGTACCAGATATTTTTAAACTGGTCTCCGAAGAAAATACAGCAAACGACATGCTCGTTTTTTTTACAAAAAACTATATTTCCTAATAACCATTATCTGAGTCACAGAGAAAATCTTGAAAATTAAGATATTTACAATTTAAGAATATCAAACCTTACCTAAATAAGTTCGAAGAAGTGCTGGAAAATACCAAGATTGTTTAGATCCTGAAGGATTTATAAAGGATAAAGAAGCATTCGATTTGTTCCACATGGGTTTGCTTAATACATAAAAAAACCTTAAGACTGCAAGATTGTAGAAATATTGATTAAAGAGTTCTGATCATTGAAGGTTTAGAATCTAATAATGATATTCCAGAAAAGAAAAAAATTATAGAAAATAAAAAATTTAAGTTTACTTCAACGGAGTAAATAAACGAACCTACTACTAAAGATAAGAAAAAAAAGATAAATACAAGTATTGTGTATATTATAAATGGGGTGGTCATACTTTTGTTAATTGCAATAAACTAAAAGAGCGTTAGAGCAATCTAAACTCGAACGCATTTGCCATAAAGGAAGTAGAAATGGTTCCTGAGAAACTGAGTATTAGCTGCAAACTAAATAATCATTTAACAGAACTAACAATTGACATTAGATCTTCTGAAAATGTTCTTTCTTATGCGAAAGCCAAAGAGCTAAATCTGTTTATTAAAAAGTCTCAGACTAACACTATAATCCAGGTCGTAAGTAGCAAATTTCTAAATATTTTAGGTTATACTGATACCATATTGAACTTTCTGGGCTTAATAAGCCATTTCCTATTACATTTAAGATTTTTGACAAATTCGTTGATGACATAATAATATTTGAGGTAAAATTTTTATTTAAAAATAAAATAGATATTTTTTTAATACAAATACTATAAGATTAGGTGAAAATTATATTCAACAGAGTTCACCATTCTCAAACCTGTTTTTGCTCGACCAATAAATACTTGAGAAAACAAAGTGTTTACTGATCGATAGTAGAGTTAAATTACTTGTAGATGATTTCATTAATTCTTTAAAACTCTAGGAGAAATAAACAATATTGAGCATGAAATCAATTTGACTACTGATGTAACAAAAAATTCTTAGCCTTACCCAGTATCTTTGTCGATATTAGGACAGTTTAAAGTAAAAGTACAAGAACTTTTGGATAAGGGCATCATAAGGAAAAGTAGTTCAACAATTGTCTCTCCATGTTTTTTTATTATTAAGAAAACTGGTGATTTAAGACTTGTAATTGATAATGGAAAATTAAATTCTATTACTCAAAAATCATTCTATCCCATACCAAAACTTTCCAATCAGATTTATTTCCTTAAAAACTCTACAATTTTTTCTAAATTGGATTTAAATTCAGGTTATTATCAGATTAAGGTTAAAGAATCTGATATTTACAAGACAGTATTTACAACCCTTTTCGGTAAATTTGAATTTATAAGAGTACCATTGGG